GATTCTCTTTAAACTTCAGTGCTGCGCGCTGCCAGCCTGCACGGCTCCGATTCACACGTCTCCCGTCATCTCTCTCTAATTGCTGTAATTGGTGCTACGGGCAGGCCCGTTTCTGTTGTTGAAAAGCCTACACTAGTACCGGTTTGAAATGCTCCCATATGAAACACTGGGAGTGTTGTTCGGGTTCCAAAGGGCCGGTCCTCGACCAAAGCGACTTCGACGTGCAGCGCGCGGCCTTCGACGCGGCCTACGAGGAGGAGACGAACCCACGGTAGGTAGGTACCTGGTGTGTTCGTGGGTTGGTTTTTGTAGGATTTTCGTTGCATTGTGGGCTGCTGAGTATGGTCAGCGATACCACGCTACACCTAGAAGGATCCAGGTCAGGCTACTGCTTTTTCTGCAGGGTAGTCCATAGCCCACGTGTGCAGAAATTAGGCTGACGTCACGCCTCGGGCTCGAGTTTTGTTTCTTGAAGTTTTCCTAGCAACCTCTCGGCGATCTTCGTTGCCTTGAGTGCATTTAGAGGTCGAAACCTTAAGGGCGAGTCCGGCCGTCAGGTTCATGCCTGAGCATCTCTTGGGAGTCGGCCCCCTGCAAGGTGCTGCGATGCGCAGAGGTGCCAGAACGGAGCTCAGGGGCTAACTTTGGGTTTGAGGTCTGGAAGAATGTATTGCAAGGGAGCCTATTGAATCTCAAGGGTTCAGGTGGATGAGAACAGGTTGAATTGCCGCAGCCAGGCCCCTGGCCCAAGCGACCATGAAACGCAGCCGGGATCCGTCCCCATGAACTGATTCGGACCGGGAACTTATAAGTCCGGGTCCGCTGCGCCGCATACACAAAGCAACCCTCAGCACACTTCGTCCTGCACCCATGATGGAAGCTTCTCCTGGCTGCAGCCTCAAAAGCGGGGAAACTCCGCTGACTTCCACTTTCCGCGAAGCCCGGAAGCTTTATTTGGCCTATGTGACTGGAGACTGCCCGGCAGCATCGCCACTTACAGCAGGGCGTTGCCGTGACCCAGGCCCAGCAACAGGTACTCGAAAGATCTACGAAGAGCCCACACAGTGTCACACAGCTTACGGATTACACAAAGCCCGGCCAGCCATGGTCGGCCATCCGCTGAGCGCAGACGAGCTGGATGACCGCGCAAGGCATCAGTACAAGGCCTCCTTGGGCTTTTGCTGCAACACGTAGCGGCGTAGCGCTTGTACAGGCCCTCTATATGGAGCCTCTAGAGCCAAAGCCGAGCCATGAGGAGGGCCATGTGGCTTTCACAGCACAGAAGATACCGGGAATTCCGACTCTGTGCACCTCGAACTACCGAGCGCTGACGTCGAGGTGGTGCTCCAGTTTCTGCAGGAGAAGGAGCTGTTCGAGACGCTGTTGGCAATGGAGGGCGAGACCGGGGTGAAGTATGCTGCAACTTTTCAGCATTTGCAAGTGGGCATGCCTCAGATCTTCCGTGCCAATCGACGAGACACTTGCTCACGGTTCTCGCTAGGTGCGTCGTTTGCCGGTTCTAAACCCGGAGTTAGAGGAAGTCCAGGTCTCCCCGTGCTGTGGGGGCAGCTGATTCTTGTTGTGGTCTGTCCTATTTTGGGGCAGTCCTTGTTTCATCTGTGAGTTGTTGCCATTGCCACGTCGGAGGGCTTGGGGAGACCAGGATGGAGACCTGCCTGTGGCGAGCATCCTCCAGTCGAGCCTGGACATGCCGGGAGCCCCAGGAGGGCAAGCCAGAAGCTAAGTCTTCTTGGAGTTTCTTTAGGCGTACGTCCCAGGTCCAGGCCGCATCTGCTCAGACGAAACATGACCACTAGATCACTAGAGTCACTAGATGTCAAAGTAGCTCAGACGCACCGAAGCCATGCCTGCCTTGTGCGAGTGAGTCGAAACCCTTGTTTCCGCTTAGGTTCTCCGCTGCGGACGCCACCCCAGCCGAGAAGGAAGATGCCGACGGCAAGGCAGCAAGCCGAGAAAATCAGAATGCCTTGAAACAGTACATACTCGTTGGGCGTGTGCACTGCAGCCCCTGCTCAAAAGGAGTGCAACATTCAACGCATCGAAAGTTTGCAGACCATACGCCCCAAGAAGGGCGTAGCACTCAGCATGCCCATGCTCATCGATGCCTCTTATAAGGCCTGGACCAATCGTTGATTGAACCATATCTTGCAGTCTTTCATCGTCGCTCTCTCTTGTCCTCCAGCTCGCGGTGACCACAATCGACTCGCATCCATCCGTCCGCCATCCCTCCCTCCTGCCGTCAGTCCATGCGTGCATGCATGCATCCATATGCCCTTTACATATGCGCACGTCTGTGTGTGCGCACATGAACGTGTTTAGACACATAGTTTGTTGACCTTTGAGTGTGAAAGAAAGAAAAAGTTGCGACGCATCTCGTCAACTGTCGTCCAATCTCTGTACTGTATCTCTTTGTCTGTCTATTTATTGATCGACCGTTCGGTTGGCGATGATGGGTAGAATCATATATAGAGTTAAGATTTTAGCAGCTTGCCCAAAAAAGCCCCCGAAGCAAAGCAGGCGGCCTGCGAAGCGCTGGAGGCCTTGCGAGGCGGCGCCTGCGCGACCCGCGAGGCGGACAGCGGAGGCCGGGTGGCTCGGAAGAGAGGCTTTAGGGCTTTAGGGGTTTAGGGTTTTTTCAGCGATTTTAGGGTTTTTAGGGTTTTAGGGTTTAGGGTTTGAGGTTTAGAGCTCATAGAATTTAGAGTGCATGGTATGGCTAAGACCTAAGCGAGATGCGGAAGGAGTAATGACGGAAATGGGCTGCCTGCGGTATTTTTTCATTTAACGATTCGATAGCCGGAAATTGGAGTCTGCTTGTGAGGGCCTCAAGTGGCTTAAGTGAGCGGCTGGTCCGGGAGACTAGCTGCAAAATGTGACCTGGGCCCAACGGCTTCTGCATGTGCTTTCGTCGTGTGAATTTCGCTGCAATGTGGGCTGCAATGTATGATGCAGTGCGGGGCTTCCTGTGCTTCTGAATTCCGGGAGCGTTTTGAGACTTGGAAATCTCTTGATGGCTGGCAAGGGCCAAGAGATTGCTGGCCCCCGTTGGTTGTTGGGGGGTTTGGTTTTAGGACTCGGCCTTGCGAAAAGTAGAGAGAGAGAGAGAGAGTCTGGGCAATCCCCTTCGGTGTCGTTTCTTTGTTTAGCAGCCCTGTTCATAATCTGTCTCGCTGATTGCCTTGTTGTCGCATGCGAATAATTTCACAACTCGCCCCGTAACACACGGGGGCGCTGATGCGCGCGATCGAGGGGCAACCCTCGGTCGTAGCCCTGGCGAAAGAAAGAGAGAGAGAGAGAGAGTGACCCGCGTGTCCTTGCTTCTACTAGCAGTCACGGGGGAACCCTCAGCATGTCCCACTGACCGTGGGATATTACTGTAACAGCTCTCTCAGCTTGATTGGGTGAAAGTGCTGTGTTTTTATCTAGTTATCAGGTCTGTCCTTCTTGTTGGTGATAATATGTTTTTCCTGGAAAAACCCACAAGCTGTCAGACTGGGAACCCATCAAGAATCTACGATTCTCGTAGATGTACGATTCCCAACGACACCCCTTCCTGAACATTGCATGTTTTTGGCTCCCACATGTATCATCTCGTGATTGAGGGGGAAGTTGCTATGTGCTATGTGGAGTGTGGGGTTATGTTTCAAAAAAGCCCTCGATGTGAGATGTGAAAGCCGGCCTGTAGGCGTCCCAAAGTTGCACTGAGCAACATACGTGTGACCCAGGGGAGTAACATCTCGAACCTTTGTACTTGTAACAACAACTGGGGGGAACCGGGGAAACACGTACTCCTTGCTTTCACGCCTCCTCAAAGCCCCATAACACATGGGGGGCCCTAGTGGCCGGGGGGCCTAAACCGCCTCCCATGCCCTGGCGAAGAAGAGAGTGACCCGAAGAAAGAAGAAGAAGAAGAAGAAGAAGAAGAGAGAGAGAGAGAGTCTGAAGCATGCTTGCAGTAGCCAGCGGCACCCTGCGGACCCTGAGACTCTGAGCCTAAGCCCCATAAACCCCACCGAGCACGACTGAGGCGTGTCGACCCTTTCATTCGCCCTATGGCACTGGTTCCTGTCGTTTGCCTGTCCGGACTGAGTCGAGTGAGAAGCGAGCCTGTCGACCGGTGAAAGGCTGCTCTCCGCCGACACGCTTGATAACTACACTGACTATACCTTTCCAGCACCACGTGCCTGCAAAGCTGCATGTGTGGAGAAGTCGCCTTCCAAGTTGTACGAGGTCCCGACGCCTTCGCGGCCAACGTGACCGCAGTCTGCTGGGCCGTGAGGTCCTTCGACGAGGAAGCATCCGGTGTGAATGACTTGAGAGACTTCGGGCCCTCATCAGGGTAAGGGATCAGCTTCTGCCACCCTCCGACTACTCCGAGCGGTGTCTTGGCTTTGCCAAAGCACAAACCTTTGCGAATTAACCCGTAGTTGTCAACCTCCATGCGTCTGGATGTCGCATCCAGCACGCTCGCCACAGGCGCATTGCATCGTGGCCACGGCAGATCGAAAGTTGCGAAGCTCGATTGAATTCAGAGAAGCTGGCATGCAGAAGACGATGGCAAATGACAGCAACAGCGGCAGCAATGAAACTAGATAGTCTATGACTAGCATCTCACTAGAGGGAGCCACTTAATTAAAGGTGCTCCTTCTATGCAACCACAGCAACAATTACAACCGCTGCGCAATCGACTGGCCCAGTGATTGTGGCCAAGAGACAAGGACATGAGGTAAGAAGATGATTGTACCTTTGTTCTTGGCACGCAAGAAACTCGGGCAGCTTACGGACGTTTCCGACAAAAGTTCTCCTGAAGTGAAACAGATGGCCATTGCACAGAAGACACCACAACCCATGCTTCTTTTCTTGGAAGCCGCAGCAGACGTCGACGGTTCGTGAATGCTGGATGTGGCAGTAGTTGCATATCCACTGGCTAGACCAGTCGATGACAAAATCCACATGCTGAATGTGTTACCGGCAGGGCCACGAGAGATAGCTGGTACTGTACGGATGTGAATAGTGGCAGTCGCTGGTACCAAGAGAGCCCGCCCCTTCTCGTGAACACTTGAACTTATTGCCCAAAGTCTGCAAAGCCTTGCGAAGCCGTCATGGAAGCCTTGGAGCCCAATTCATCTCACCGGAGCAAGGCCTCATCGGCGATCATGAGGCCAGGGCGACTTCACACCTTTGTCGGTGAAGTCTCCGTTGCTTCATTGATTGTCGGGGGTCATTCAAGAGCTATCAGTTTGAAGCCCCATGGGCATCCGCAACTTGGGTTCTTCATGTACGTTCCAACGCAAAAACATATTCATCACACCCAGCTGAAGAGAATACCAGCCCGTGTAGATGCCACCAGAAGGTCCTGGCAAGCTCATGTCTAAGCTAGCAGAGATGGGCAACCCCGGTGTCGAAACCCCAGGCTTCGAAAGCAAGCCCGAACCGATGCCTGTCAGCTTGACTTCTCGGTGTGATGCATGAAGATTTGAGATTGTGTGCCCCGCATGAGATGTGTATCTTGTTGTTTGGCCAGCTGGGATTCAGTGTGTGCGACCTTGGTGCTTGTATCATGGGTGCTGTATTTTGAAACTAGCGTGAGGGGGATGGGACTCGGAATCCAAGTGCTTCCTGCTTTCTTGAGTATTGATGATGCTTTTGCTTGTGTTGAACGTTTCAATGGTCTTGTGCCAAATAGAAGAACTAATCTACACCTTAAACCCTCCACCAAAATCTAAGCCCCAAGCCCGAGACCCACCCCAAGAAACTAAGCCCCAAGCCCAGCCAGGCACCAGTAAAAAATTCTAGTCTAAGCCCCATAAGCCCAAAACAACCTCGCCTGGCTTGTCTGAGAGCCTAGAATCTTAGAGGCCCAAAACACCCTTTTGCCTCACCAGCTGCAGGCCCTGGCTGCTTTCGAGGACCTTCGGAGCAGACGCGGAGAGCCGTTAAGTTTTGGATCTTGGGGCGTGGGATTTTGGGGCTTGAAGGTTCATGGTTTTCGATGGAAGTCTCTTGGCTCCTGATGCAAGAGAAGCAGCCCAGAACATAGCATCAAAAGCGTGCCATAAAAGCAAGACAGCTGACTTCTGAGGCCGTCGCGACCCTGCATTCCCATCTCCCCGCTCAAAGATCAAAAGACTCAGCTGTACACCGCACACTTTCACATCATGTGTACTAAAGAAGCGATGAACCCGGCGCTTGACTAGCACATGACTCAAGTGCTGTCGTGGTGATCACGAAGCGGAGCCCCACCCCGAACTCGAAAGCCCAAAGCCTTCAAGACCGAAAGCCCACATATGTGCTATATATATCTACAGACACAGACACACACACTGATACACTTCATTTGTTGTCTACCTATCTATCAATCTAATCAGGCAGTGTCTTTATTTATCTATGTGCCAATCTTGTCTTATAAGACAATGAATGAATAAATACAAAAATAAGTACATAAATAAAGAGTAAATAAATATATTGTATGTATCTGTCACTTGATGGTCTATAGTGTAGATTGAAAAAAACATGCTCGAGGATCTGCCTTCTCCACCACTGAGCCTCGATGTGGCGTCTTCCGAGGCAGCAACTTCCAAGGGGTTACTTTTGGGGGGTTTAGGATAGCAAAGTGGTGTTCCTTTAAGAAGGTTTTCCTCTAAGGGCTAGTATGGTCTTACTACGAGGGTTGCTACGTACAATGGCAGACTGCAGGGGTTCAGCGGCTTGTAGGGTCTATTCGGAGGCCGGAGGGTTTTTGGAAAGTATTTTTTGGGCGAGCCCGTGCAGAAACATTCGTTGATGGGACCCGGTAACCCCGGGACGTCTCTCCCCCTTGAAGTTGGCGTCTTGAGTCTTGAGCCAAACCCAGGAAGCGGGCCTGCAAGAGGTTCTGGTGTGCCCTGGCGTTTGGAAGTGAAGGCTGTATGGCCTTGGTCACATATTACTTGTAGTTGCTGGTGGGGCTTCCCGGTGTTAGGGTCAAGTCGACCACTGAAGTTCATGTGGGCATGTCCAGGTAGGCTCTGCGCTGTAAAGGAGCCATGAGCATGAGGGCTCTTGCTCTGTCTCGCCTTGCTGGGCCTCGGCTTTGTTGTTGCAAAACTCGTTAGGCAGAGCAGAAACAAAGGCCCCCGCCGGATCCCTGACACTCGCCTCTTGTGCTCTCGCACTCCGAGGACCACGATGGGTGGTGAAACCCTGCTGCTGAAATTACGGCACCCGGGAGCCCCTTCGGGCGGGTACCCAGTGCTTTGCCCGCTAATTTGGGGGCCGGGTTGCGTCAGGGCGAACGGTTGAACTTGGACTGGCTCAGGAGCAAACTCCAGCTTCAATGTTTGGGTTGTGTTAGAGTTTGAGACTCTTACTTCATGTAGCCTTGCAAGCAATCCTTGTAGGACCGTATATAGGATTTGTTGCCCAAGGACTCGAAGGACATGGGCCGCTGGTCTTTTGAACTCTGCCAGCAGTTCAAGGATCACCAGAAGCAGGCGGGTACCGGTAGCCGGCACTGGGGGTTTCCACGACGGAAGGCTTTCATTGCGACCTGGAGCCTGGCTCTGTCGGAAGGGGCGGTGCATGGTCACTGCTTGGTGCGCCTGTCATTCAACACTGCCGGCACTACCGGTACTGAAGGCTGGGTTCAGCGGCCCAGGACCGCAGTGAAGCATGCTCGTCAGGTGACCAGTGGCCGCTTTGCTCCGGCCCGAAGCGCTCACAGCAGCTACTTCATCACCATCTCGCGAGACCACACGGCGTGCGTCTACGGCCGACGCCTGGCGGAAGCCTAGCAGCCCAGCTCCTAGGTCTCCAGACTTCCACCAGTTCCGGGGGCCTTTTTGTTCCGAGGACCGCCCGGCCCCCACTTCGCCCTCCTGGGCTCCTACAGCTTCGTGGGCGAGGCCCTCCCGCGGATTCAGAATTCTGCGATCTCGAAACAGGGCCAAAGGGGGGGGGTGTTACGTAGGATTCGGGAGGGAATGGGCGGAGTCTTGAGAAGCCTTCGAAGCGCGAGCCAGGTCACTGCCTGCTGCTGGCTGGATCCCCTGACGGCTGTGCTGGCAGCCAGGCGGGCCTCTGTGCCAGGATGACGAGCTTGAAGACTTATTTGCGCTTCCGGTGACTCGTGGTGACGTCGTGGTGCATGCAGAAAGGTGGGAGGTCTGATTTGAAGCCTCTTCTGATGTTCATGGGTTTTGGTCGTGGCGGTGCTGGTGCTAATGCTGGTGCCAGTGGTCGTGCTTTCGCTGATCCCACCCAGCCGACCGGATGAGCTCTCGAGTCTTTTCCCGTTTTTTTGGCGAAAGGCCTTTTCATTGCCTTTGGCTCTGGGCTCAGGGGTTCTGGGGTTCGAGGGTTCAAGCCTCTGAAGCTTCAGCGTTTCGTGTCGCTGTTTGAAGCCAGGAATGACCATGAGCTCCATTATCTGGAGATGGAGGGCCCGCACCCGGGCGAAACGCAGGCCTCGGGCTTGGGCTCTCAAAGCGTTGTTGAAGACAGCTGTCCCTCTCCCCCGCCTCTTTCTCTTCACCTTGTGTCTTCTCGCTCTTTGATTTTACTGGTACAGGGCCTCCTTGGCCTTGACCGTGGAGTGCCTGAGGTGTTAGAGGCACAGATCCACAAGCCTTGAAGAAACTATCAAATCTCTCCTTGGGGACTGGGTGAGAGCTCAGTCCAGGTTTGTCTATACTTTGCGATCTTCGCTTTCTCCGGCTTGGATGCCGGGCTGAACCGCAGAGACTCCTCAGTCTCACTTCTGGATGTTCCGCGCGGAGCCTCCTTCCGAAGCCTGAGGGTGGCCCCCCCCGGTACTAAGTGACAGAGCTTCTTGAACAGAAACCCCGACTTTGCAAAGAGAAGAGGCCCGTCCTCGCAAATTTCTTCCTCATCGTAGGAGCTCTCTTCACGCCGCGAACCTCATACCCAGGATCCCTAAATACAGAGTTGAAACCATCGTTGTCTGAAGCTTCCACAGAGGAGGTGCTGCAAACCAACCTCAATGCCCTTGGCGACAGCGTGGTCTCCTTTGCCGTGCTGGCCCTGGCGGCGTCGCCGGACCAGGGTTCATAAAATTGGGGGTTCCTGCTTTTGTAGGAAGGATCTCACAACTCTTCGGGTCTCTGCTCAGATGTGGCCTCCAACGATCCACTCCTTTGCGGGCTAAGCTTGCTCTGCTATAGCTGCTATGGGCCGAAGGGCCGAATAAGTGCATCCGGCCTTGGCTTACATCGTATGGTCGACACCAGTGCGAAGGAAGCGCGTGCCCATTTTCCGAAGTTGCCAGCGGGAGGATTCGTGGAAGTGCGAGTATGCTTATATGTATGTTTCCCAGCTGATTGGCAGAGTCTGGGTTCAAAAAAAACAAATCGCAATATGAACAGGGAAGGGAGTGTTCTTGAATATCAGCTCAGGCTGGTGTCCCAAAGCCATGTATGTCCGCGGTGTTCCGACCTGGATGTGCGCAGGATGGTGCCTTCCTGGCAGCCTGCACTGACCGCGCACGTGCGTCTCGTCTGCAGCTCCTGTATGGGCGGAGAGGGCACTATGGTCCACAAGAAGGGGTCTCCAACTCCAAGTGGGGACTTTCGCAGTCTGGCACGTCCTGTCTGGGAGCTCTGCATCAGTTCTCACCGCCGTCGTGGCAAGCCTCGCTTCGCTCGGCCTAGGCCTACTGTAAGGCTGTAAGGCTCCTCTCAGCCCCCACATTCAGGGCTCCGCCGGAAATCCACAGCCACCGCGGATCGGCGCGGATCTCAGGTGATTCTTCTCCAGGCGCGGTCGCCTCGGCAGCTGCGGAATTTCTACGGGGCTGCGGTGGGGGATCCTCGGTTCGTCAGCTCGGGGCTCCCAAGGAGGCAGCGGAATCACCAGAGTCTTTTTGCGATTTGACCGCTCCGGAATCTACGGTTCCCGATATGAGAGGAGCTTGCTCTCGGTCTAAACTCAAGGATGTCGTAGGAGCCCAGAGCTTCTTTGCCCCCCATTTCTGCTGAGGAGTATGACATGCCAACTGTCGCGTTTTCGCTGGATGGCTGCTCGGGGCAGTATCGCAGTCATCTGTTGTCGGGAGCAGCGCACCCCACAGCAGTGAAAGTGTGCTTCTTCTTTCTGCGGGATGAGACTTCAGCAGCAAGGGCCCGCTGAATTACAAAGGTCTTTGAGCAATCGGGGGATCCTAATCATTGAATCCATGTCAAGTCTGTTCATTCCACGTTCGGTGCAACCGAAGCAACATTCACATCTGATCGAATCCTCCGGCAGTTTGCGGCCCTCTGTGGACGTACAGTTCTAGGCTCTTTCGTTTGCTTGCACCCCTTGTAACTATGACCTCATAGCAGTCCGCTTTTGGCAGACTCCTCCCAGTATCCCAGGCTGTTTCTTGTACGTGTCTTCCTCGTTGCCGCAGCCAGCACGCAGAGACGAGGAGGTTGGGAGCTTGGGCGCCGAGCGTGGACCTGGGACATTGTGACGTTGAGAATTGGGAGTTTCCGAAAGTTAAGGGGTACCTTATTCTGGGGTCTTTACAATAAGGATCCTACTATCCAGGGTACCTACATCGGGGTCCCTTGTTTTTGGAAACCCCCAATTGAAGCTTCGACACTGCCGGCATGCGGAGGCTCTCAGCTTTAAAGGTTGCCCACTGCTTTTGCGGAAGTCAGCCGGAAGCTTTTGTGCGGATGGCCAGGTGTGCGCTCGAGTCACACACCCAGTAGAGTCTGACAGAAAGAAGATCCCAGTAAAACTTCAGTTCAGAATCCCAAACCGTTGCGATCAGTCGCGGGCAAGCGAAGCCCTTGCTGCACACGCCCCGTTTTGAATGTATGTCCCTCGGCCACATGAGTCCCATGTTCGACTTCCTTCGGCCAGGTGAAGGCACTCTGCGGGCAAGTGGCCATTTTCGAGGTGTGGCAACGGGATCTCACATATTGTAATGAACGCACAAGCTCATCTTATGTTGCTGCCCGAGAAAAGATAGACTTACTCGACGACAAGATTTACAGAGTTGTGAGCCTTGCATATTTCGATAACCACACCGGAAGTCTAAAGCCCTCGAACACCAAACGTCTGGAACTCAAGCCCACACCACCCAGTCTTCTAGTCACTTGAGTCTCGGATCCTGGAGAGTGGGCTTGCAGCCAAAAGCGCAGTTCGCCATAAAGGCCAACATGAAGCCAAAGAGAGCAGAGAGTGTACGGAACCTCCCTGCCTAGTTTCATGGCTCCTTAGATGCTCAGCTTCTTTACGTAGCTCAACGACTGTAGACCGACTTGGTCAGACAGGCAGATGGTCTAAGTCTGACGGTCTCAGTGTGAATCCCCTTGGGATAGGAGATTTACTTGTAATCCTACTGAACTTACGGAACACAAATCCAGTGGGTTCTAAATCCAAGCAGGCTGGGATAGAAGTGTGCCCTCGTTCGATGCCTCAGAACGTAGGTTCGGAGTGGCCAGATGGTGCTCCAGCTGCCTTGTCATGAAAAATCCGTGCGCCACGAGACAGCAGAAGTGAATGGTGTGGGGTTAGGCCAAAGAGCAGCACATGCCGTTTCTGGTCCGCCGAGTCCCATCTTTCATGGTCTGATGTAGCCCTTGATTGCAATCGTCCCGCCAGTCGTCGCGACTATCCCATGGATCCCACTACTGACATCCTCAAAGAACCGGGGGGGGTGGATTCATCATGCAGCATGGAAACACTGTGCCAAGCCTTGGCGGTTGCGCTTCGGATGATTCAGGCGGGAGCAAAAGACCGGGCATGTTCTTATTGCGATCAGGGAGAATTTGCCAAACGGGAAACCCACAAACATCCTCAGGGAGTCGGGCACTTGCTGTTAAGAGCCATGGCTGCTATGCTTTGGCTCCCCTTGACTGAGAAGAGCGTGCTGTTTCAGGCCTCCCTTTTGACCCCGGAGCCGCAGCCACTCCATTCCTTCGCTTAGCTGCAGCTAACCCGAACTGTTCGGATGCTTTTGCCGTGAAGACGAGACCAATCTGCCGCGCCTGTTGCCCAAGGCTGCTTCCACCGGCATCCGTACTCTGAGATGCTCGTGACGGGATCTTTCGACAAGATGGTGAAGTTTTGGAGCTAATCGTAGAGCCCATCTCAATGTAACATGACATAACAGAACACACCTAACACGTCGGGGTCTAGCTGTCAAGCACCTGCGTCAAATTACCACCTACTCGAGGTGTAGTCGCAGCCGCACGAGCAGGAGCCGCAAAGTACGTGGTTCGAGTGACGGTGCGTTGCGTTTCACTGTCGAGCTCAGAGAGTGCTGGCTGGCAGTCCGCGATGCTCGAGCGCGGCTGCAAACCAAACCGTCAAAACTGCATGGTTCCGGTTTCGGGCTCGCGGCTTGGTGTTGGTAGAGCTGCAGCACGAGAAGATGTGAAGGGTTATGGCGGTGAAAGAAGCGATTCCAAGCACAGTCTGGGATCCGAAGCTGCAGTGAAGTGAAGTGCACCTTCAACGACTTGTACATTCCAGCGTGACATGGCAAACGTGCTTTTTGCCGGAGGCGTGCCCGCGAGGCCACCAGGAGCTGGAGTCTCGGTGCACTGGTGTCAGGAGCAGCCCCAAGCTGTCTCGGGTTTCGGAACATGCTTCCTGACGCAGAATTGAATCCCGAACGTCCCGTCCGGACAGACGAGGAAACATGCGAAAGCAGCCTATGCTTCCTCCACTGCACCACTGAGACTAGGACCAGGACGGGATGTCAATCGAAAGCCTAGGAACGGGCGATGGATCGCTTGCTCGGTTTCCTGCCGGTGGCGCAGCAGGCCGGAGGATTGGCAAGCGCAAGTAACGTAACCTCGACTTCACCACCCGGCCTTGGTGTCCATGCCCACAAAAAGCATTCCGCAGCGCCTAGCGGCCTCGCTGGCAGAGATGAACGACATACATGTCCTGGAGCTCCACATCAAAAGGGGAGAGAGATACGGGGAGGGTGAAGTACCGAATGTTAC